TGTGTGTGTGTGTGTGTGTGTGTGTGTGTGTGTGTGTGTGTGTGTGTTACGAGATTACTAGGGCATTTGTGAACCGATTTGGGAAGAGGGTACCTCAGTATTGGTCCCATTTAAATTTGAAGACAATATTTCACGTTACGCGCACTTTCCGGTAAGATTTCAATAAAACAAAAGCAAATAGATATAATTCCATGAATTTTTGAGGTCGGTTTTTTTTAAATACAAAAGTTAGAATTATTTTGATTCCAAGGTCGATACGTGTTATGGACGGTCGAAGGACGTCTGGTATGGGCAATAATAATTCATTTGTTTGTTTAAAACACGTTATAACAGAAGATGTAACAAGAGACAGTGCCAGTACGAACATGTTTCGCATATATTAAATAGCATGTAATTGGCAAGCGATTGAGGACTAAATCTCGCGAGATATTTCGTGCGCTCTGATTGGTCGGAAGCGCCCGCATTGATTAGGCCCGGTACGGTGTGGGAGACACCTCATCGGTACAATTGTAGGAATCTCACTGTATTCCAATCACATAATAAGAAGTGAATTCGACCATAAGAAATTAAGCTATATTCGACGACAAGTGTATCCGTAATAATTGATGTATACAGTCCCAAGAGTTCAACAAAACCAGACATTACTAGAAATAATTATGCGACAATCTATGATATTATTTTTTTTATTTTGGTACAAACAGTCATTACAAAATAATGGTTACAAAGAAATTAGAAGTATGCTGTAGACAACGAGTACCGAAAATTACTATTATACAATTTTACAAAATAGGCTGCAGGGCTTACATAGTTGCAGAGAAAGAATTTATAATATTTTACAACTCAAAACTAAATGAATATAAATATAATGAAACATTACAATATCAATCCACTCCGCGAAATAGGCAAAGAAAACAGATCATTGACCCAACCCAACCATAGACGGTTGAGTGTAATATAAGTTAAATTATTTATTTAGTGTTATTTGTGAATTTTAACATAACCAATCTGCCTACCCCTTCCACACAGTGAACTGAGAAATACTGCAATTACGGCGTAAAAATAAGACATAAAAAAATAGAAATAATAATTTAGGGATGTGTAACAGAATATACTGACACTAGACAGCTAGGCTGCATCGATGCTGCACAAAAGTTTGCTGAATGATATCTTTATTTTATAACTAAAAAAAGGTCTAGCAATTATATTTTAAGCTTTAACAACCCCATATTGCTCTTGAAGAGAAAAAAAGAGATTTCGTCCAAAAACGTAGTTACAAGATTCTCAAATTTAGCCGGCGAAGTTTTATTGAAAGATCGCAGAATATAAGGCGCAATGTCGATTTTTAATTTGAACGGTGAATTTTTGCTTCAATCTAATGTACGCTTAATTAAATTGCCTGTAAGATTTAAATTGTAGTTTTCACGGCACAAATCGGAGAAGTTGATCGAATCACTTGTAACAACAATTTTTCATTAAGGCATGAATGTTAAGGCAAGAATTTATACGTTATAAGTGTTACGCACATGTGTTCAAAAACCGCAAATTACGACCAGCATAAAGATAAACTGTTTTGTTAGAACAAATTTCTTGCCTGTGAAAATGTTATCGTTGCTTCTTAATAAAAAATCGATTTTATTATTACATTCAAATTTCGAACATCTCCGAAAATCAAAACAATTTCATTGGACCTCAATTCTAATATCAGCCGAGATGAATTTTTATCCGAAATGAAATGTCAATAGCAAACAGTTTTGACAATTTCACATGTTACTTGATATCGAGCGATATGATAGTTGGGGCCGACTCTGGTTTGTCTATGAATTAAAAAAAAACTGCCGTTGCGTGACATGCGTTAGAAAGTTTTTATTTGCCGCCATTTCGTCAGTCGTAACAAGCGGTGCGATGATGTGCTCGAGAGCGTATATTTAGGGTATAGACTTAGAATAATAACGCATAGAAACCTAGTCCGCACACGCTAAATGGGCCTACACGAGCGGGCGGGCCTTCAGTGCTCAAGGTCAACTTGCACCGCGAACAGCTCAAGAATTTTAGCTAAAAATTACGAAATGTGCGGTAAAAATACTAACATCACATTCCACAAAGAAGTAACGCGTTTCAACTTGTATTTTTATATAAATATTCACTAAAACCGAAAATTAACCTACTACTAAAACTAGCCTACATGTATTTGATTTTTGCCTCTCTTGTGACAGTTCGTTTGATATGAAACTATCATTCTATGCGTTATTATTCTAAGGGTATGGATAAAGCAGTGTATGTAACTGTACATAATTAGGCATTAAAAGACTCGTGTGATGTTTTTTAAACCCACACTCGTATTTTAAAGCCTTTCATTATGTAACGGTCACATAAACTATTATTATGTACCGTCACTGACCATTAAATTTTTCGTATAACGAAATTCAAATTAGATTATCGCACTGCCATCCTTACCATAAACAACGTAATCGACATTTTTAGCGAAATAGAGTTATAAATATATTTGAAATCAGCGCATCCAGGTTTATAACCCCCTGTAAACGGTTTTTTTATATCTTATTTAGTTTCAGTTTATAACTTATCAAACCGCCCTCGTGGTTTGATATGTCCGTGACTTTGAGAAGAAAAAAAAACCATTTTTTTATTAAATTATGGTTTATTTTTCTACGCATTCTCCTATTAACTGTATAGAAACCTTGACCAGCGATACCCCAACTTCTTCAAACCATCAAAAAATATTTTTTGTCAAACTGAAAAATAAAACTGAAATTAGATAAAAAGTCGATGGGGAATACGGGGGATATGGAAATAGTTCGTATCATAATTCGACACGTTATGATATTCTGATATTGCAGGTTAGAAACGGAATACTCGAAATTCTGTTTTCTCCATCTTCAATCAAAATAGATCATTTGACATGCGATACAACATAAAGGAAAGAATATGCAAATTAATAATAATTATAAACAAAAACACTCATCAAACGTCTATGACTCAACTACAGAGGACAATGAAGCACATTTTCCTCGCTGATATTCTACCATGGCCGTTAATGGTTACACACATAAATATTTATAATTAATCACGCACACAGGCATAAGATTACACTAATAATGAAAATGCAAAGTACTGTTCCAAATTATTAAAAATCAGTATAACAACTAGGGATGGGTATCGACTAAGACAACATTGATTATTGACATCGATTTTTTTTTGACAAAACAATCGATGTACCGATTAATCGTGGCTTTAAAAGTCGATTAATCGACAAAATATAAATGTTTTAATTGTTCGCATTACTTCATATTCTTGTTTGGTGAATTTTTTTAGCTGTGTGAGTCAAATTTTATAACGTCACTTTCATCTTTTACGGTTCACAAAACCTGCTTATTTGTTTACCTAATTTCTAAAGTTTAAAAAAACTAAGTAGTTTCTAGATAATAATCCATTAAGTCTAAGCTAATATTACCAGGGTTTCTAGAATAAATTCGAAATAATAAGTTTAAAAGTAATGTTATTTAATTGTAAATGAAAATGTAAAATAAAGTATTGTAATTATTTTAAATTATGTTAAATGTTAAATGTAGTTGATGTTTATTGTTTAGGTGTTGGTAACTATCTTAAAAATACAATAAAATGTCCTCTGCCGGAAACAATTTTATTAATTTTAATCATTAAATCCTTCGTAAAGAATCTTAAGCCCAAATTTACACCTTTACCTTTTACAGTGAAATTTTATATCTACGCATTATTTTTCATTGTTTATAATCTCACTCCTGAGTATAACGTGACGTTTCAGTATTCGGCCGGGGTCGTATTCTAGAACTCTATTCAATGCTCAAGTCAGGATTGCACTGGCAACACAAGCACTGGAAATACGACCCTAATGGCAGGGACTTGAGTATGATTTCGAGTACTTTAAACCATACTCAAATCTTGACTTGAGCATTGAGTAGAGTTCTGGAATACGACCCCTAGACAATAATAATTTATGAAAAATGCACCTTTTTTTGTGTTTTACGATAGATTATGTAGGAAGAGTTGAAATATTTTCAGATTATAGTCCATATGGGCAAACGGTAGAATATTAAAAGTATTCCACAATTTTTGATTAATGTCGTTTCATTATCGCTAGGAAGCTTAAAAAAACTATGGTTAATAACGTGGTTAAGTTGCAAGCAGTGTTTGTGCATGTGCAGGGAAATCGAAGCCGCCGCAGGTGTCCCGGCGCTACCTGGGCATCACCATGCTGTCCCTCACGCCCAACATCCTCATGGAGCTGCGCATGAGAAGCCCCGAGGTAACCCTCCACAGGAGAACCCCTTGTGTTAACCAACTTATATAGTAGGTATTGTATTTACTCGGTTAGCGGAAATATGTGCCTAAAAGGAAAAAAATGCAGGACTGGTCTTCTGGGATTCCTCTCCTATAGGAGGTTGGACAACATCATAGCAACCCTGACTTTAAAGGCTGCCGCTCTAAAGAGAGAGGTGGTACTGTAGCCGAACCATTACCTCAAAATTTTCAGCCAGAAGTGCCGCCTTCTACCAACACTTCGTTTTCCAGGACTGGTCAATCTGGTCTAAAAGTAGGAAATTTTGCTGCACTTTTTCCAACTCACAACTGGTTCAGAATCAATTTTTAAAATTTCACATCGTAAACTGGCTCTACCAGGAACCGGAACTCTAAAAGGTGCTAACCGCTGGTCTGCCGAGATCTTCCAAGTAGTATGTATAACATTGGAAACGTTCTATAAGAATGCCATTTTATTGCAAAAGCACTTTAATATTGATCTGAACCTACTTCTCTGTTAAGAATTTACATTTTAGTAGCAATAAAACTCCTTGTGAAAGAATTCGTCCAGGGAAATCTGTTCGTTCCAGTTTTGCTGGTGAAATTACAGGCACATGGGACTTGTCAACTTATGTCTCAGGGTGACGGGCGCAGTGGCAGTGCCCCTCAGGTCTTTTGCGGTTTAAGGCTCTGTGTGGCACTGCAACTGTTATGAACAGGCGTGTCGCTCACTTTTTATCACAAAAATAATAATGTTACAAAAAATTTGTAAATTTGACCGAATCTCGCAATATCGCAATCAACTCAAGTGGTTTCTCATTCGTCTTCGCAGGAATTTGCATATCGTCTCTGTTCTCTACAATATTCTTCATAACCCTTCGTCTCCCGAGTATCTGAGAGAGCGTTTCAGCTTTCTCAGATCTCAGGACAAACCCTGTCGCTCTCTCGTTAGGTCCCAGTTATCTTTTCCTTCCTTCAATTCCGGTTTTTGTTCTCACTACTTCATTGTTATTAATGTCAGACTTAGAAACGCACTTCCTATTTCTGTTCACGAAAGTACATCATTTGCTACTTTTGAATTGAGAGTTAAGGAGCATTACTTATCTACCGTTTCATCCAGTTTATAGGTATTATATTTTGAAATATTTATTTATCTAGTTTATAATAGTTTAATGTTAAATATTGCTTTACGTAATTTTTGATTTGTGCACATAAGCCTGTTATTACAATTATTTTGTCCTAGTATTACTGTATTTAGGTCTGAAGGAAGAAATTTCTTATAGAAATAAGCAGTACCGTTTGTTTGTGTTTTCGTTTCATTTAATGTATTCTGTGCTTTTGCCTGTGCAATAAATATTATTTAAAAAAAATCAATTAGTACACCAGAACTTTAAAATGAAACGTAATATGTATTTTTCAGATGCCAAAGGACATCGAACACGGCATTTTAGTGTGGAAAGTCATTATTGGATCACCGGCTTACAAGTAAGTTATTTCTTAAAGGTTTGGTAAATTTGTTAACTTAATCGTGTTTTTTCCGCCATGTAACAAAACTGTGTCATATTGCATACTTTCTAGATGTTTTCTAAAACAGGGATTTCTAATAAAATATATAACCGTATGCAATCGCATATATTTTCATATACATGTTTATTGTCAAATTGTTCCCCTTTACGTCTAGTCCCTTTTACGTCGAGTTCCTTTTACGTCGAGTTCCTTTACTTCGACTTTTGCTTTAGCAACTAAAATCAAAAATTAAGACCATAGAATAGTGTTTAAAATTGCTTTTATTGGGCATTGCATTTAAAATTACCTCGGACTGATTATTTGATTAAATTAGATATGTAACTACTATTAATATAGATAAATAATATCGTAATTTGTGTTTAAATAATCATTTATGTAATAGATAATGTCTAATAATCGAAATAAAAATCATAGATAAATCAATTATTGATATATTATGTACGTAATCTCACATTCTACAATACAAGCATTCTTGTATAAAAAAATTACATAATACGTTTTGTTGTTATTTTTGTATTACACAATCAAACAATAATTAAGGTGAAATGTTATCGTGGTTGCGTAGGCTTTGACTATACTTAAACTTTGGCTTGTTAGGAATAAAACATACTCTCTTACTGTTAAATAACTCACATATTCCCCTTGCGTATTTATTACGGAACTCAGGAGAGAAAAGAATTTTCACTTAAATGTCTCTAAATAATTTTCGTAGTAAAAAATGCAAATTTTGCGGAACTTTCTGATTTGTATCGAGCGATCCGTAGTTCGCTACCAATATTTTTTGTTTACATTAAAAATTAAAAAAACAAGTTGAATTCGTTTTTTGGGTAATTTTCAGGTTAGGTTTTTCTACCTAATGTCGCTGACAATTATGATTACTTACATATTTTAGAATATTATCATGGAGGATTACTTCACATTCGAGTATACCGACCTGAAATATTATTTAATATTTCACGATAACATACTCGAATACGTAAATAATAAAAATTGCCACCAAAATTAGGTAGAGAAAACTAACCAGCAAATTGCCCTTTTAATGTCGAAAATCCGATTTTCCGTGTGATCGAAATATGTCAAAACTTTCGGTGTCACTTCACCTTAAATTAATCACTTTCATTCGACGTAGATACATTTTAGGTTCACCGTGCGTGTAGGTAATAAAAGCGAGAAAGATGTTATAAACTCGACGTAGAAAGTCCAATAAACTCGACGTAGAAAGTCCATTAACCTCGACGTAGAAAGTCCATGTAAATCATAATGCGCCTATTCGCCGACAGCGGAGGCCTGCAGCCCGGCGACATCGTGATCAGCATCGACGGTAAGCCGGTGTTCACGGCGCAGGACATCTACAACGTGCTGGAGAGCACCACGGGGTCGCTCAAGATCGAGTGCGTGCGGGGACACAAGAAAGTCCTTCTCAACGTCACTCCCGAGCTGCACTAGTTCAGGGAATCTGCTGCAGTGACTGGCGGCTGTGTTAAAATGTTAACTTCTTGAATGAAATATTCTTTATTACACATTAACACTTTTACAGTCCCCCATGTAAAGGCCGAAACCAATCCCGTAAGTCCAACGGAATTTGTGTGAAATAATATTGGATTTGTTTTTTACTCTCATTTTATGTATAATACCAAATTATCTTTAAATTTTGAAAAATTACACCTCTTACAAGTCCAACCAAAATATTTGACATTGAATGGACTGTGAGCGTGTTAAAAGTATCACAGAATAAGCCAATAGGCGGCTTCTTGTGATTTCTTCAGGCAAAATTTACAATTACTATACACTGTCGCTAGAGACAACTGTGACTAAACTGCCATAGAAACGTTACGATAAATGCAGACGGAATGGAATCCTGAAAGCTTGTCTGAAGTTTAGACTTCAGACTTGGTTCGGGAGTTTTTCTAACTGCATCCGAACTGCACGTAACAGCCTGTTCCAGTTACCGAACGCTGTACATATATTTCAACTGCACAAATTAATGTAGATACAAAAGTTTATGAATAATAAAAGTATATAGTCAAACCAAGCGACTCATTCTAAAGGTCTTCTCTCATTATACCGCTACAGCCCGTCGTAACGAGTCACTCAATGCGAAATATTCTGTACAATATTTAGAGACCATTTTTTAATGTTTCTATTAATCAGTAGCGAGGCAATACGTCAAATTAACCACAAAATGTAGTAAATTACTTTAAAATTTTATGTTATTTGATAATACGTGGAAAATGTTAGGCAAGCCGGTGGGAATCGAGTTCTATGGACGCCTCGCTACTGCTATTAATAAATATTTTAATATTTTAAAGAGCGATTATAGCCCAGTAGGAGAAAGGTTGCTTCACAATTGAAAGGTCAAGGGTTTGAATACCTGTTGCAACATGTATCTATGATTTTAATTTCTAAGTTACATAGATTTTAGTAGCAACATGAATGTGGAAGTAGATTCACGACTCTCGGGATTAACCTTGTCCTTACTTAGCAGTGGAACGTATAAAGAGTGGATGATGATAATTTATTAATTGACGCTTTATAGCAACCACATTAGAATTTTTTAATTCTTTGTCTTTTGACAAACAGCAATTTCTGCTAAGCAGCAATTAATTCCGGGAACGTTTGAAGTAGAAGAAATTGATAAATATAGTTTCGTTTTGAGTAGAAACGCTATGGCAATTCTCTGTCATGACAGTCGCAGTCTCCTGATTCTGAGGTGCTGTTACGCTGGACCCGGGTCGTCCCGTAGCAGTTATGTGTGCAGACCATTAGATATGACTTAACGTAATCGTGTATATTTTGACGATCAATTATTTCGTCTGTTTAGTTGTTTCCCAACAAAACCCACGCCTGCAGGTGCTTAATTTGGAATAATTTTAATCTTTAAAAAAATTGATCGTTGTATAACGATTGACCTTAGAAATGTATTTTTTGTATGACTCTTTATGTAATTAGTTAAAGGTTTATGTAATTATGTATTTAAATAATAAGGAACTTTGTTAAATGTTCGAAATAATATAGAACTGAATGTTACTTTTGGTTTTTATTTTTAGCCGACTTCAAAAAAAGAGGAGATTCGACTGTATGTTATTTTTGTGTGTAAGTTACGCGATTATTCCAATATTTGTGAACCGATTTCGATGATTCTTTTCTTGTTGGGAAAGGGGGTGCCTCAGTAGTGGTCCCATTTAAATTTGAAGCGTTGTTAATCTTATTAGCGACATCTCTCGCCAGGACTGGTAGCTGTAAAGGTACTAACTGGGTGATAAATCTGTCATAGATTTATCATAAATGGCGCTACGACTAAAAAGTCGTTGAAAGACCAAGTACAAAGACACGACCCAAGCACAGAAAAATTCGTGAGGTCCGTTGGTTCGTTCCATGGCTTAGTTGGTATAGAGTCTGGCACGGTATGCAAGAAGACGTCGGTTCGAATCCGACCGGATCGAAGGAATTTTTTCTGAGTGTTCGATCTTTGTATTAATAATTATAACAAACTAGTGGAGTAATTTCACAAAAAATAATTGAATATCAATTCAATAAAAATTTAATCGATGTTAATCTTGTTTGTGTTTTTTTCCTATACTTTCTTATCAATAACAACAGTGCAACACTCTTTACGATCGCTACGGTTGACGTTCGTCGAAGGATTGCAACCCAGCAATTCGCGTCGCAGTTTCCTGCGCTGCGAATTCGCATCGCGCCGATTCGTAGTGTTGTCTTTTGACCCAAAGGGTTGTAAATTAGGGGATGAATCCGATCGTATTCAATTTAATAAAAAAAGATTTCGTAGATTTATCACAGATGGCGCTACAGCAAAAGCAAAGATTTGTAACAAAGACAGAAAAATTCGAAAACCCGCTAGTTAAAAATAGTATATTTTTTATCGAGGTACTAAAATGAGCCAATATATACCGGAGGTGGTTAGTGTCTATTACTCCGAGAGGGTTTATTGTTATTATTTACTTTTCACTTCTCATGCTCTTAAAGTTCGTATTTATGCTGGGTGTAGGCTGCATAAAATAGGATTTTATGCTCTAGTGCATAAAATACTATCGTCGTTAAGACTGAGGCAATGACGCCTGCGCCGACAGCCACGTACACTTTATAAAAAGTTTTATTTTTATTTTTTTAATCCGTGTTATATTACAAAATTAAAAAAGTAGGCAATGGTAATTCTAATAAGTTATAAGAAATAGAAATGCATAAAAAATAATAAGCTTGTAAAATATAATTGACCATTATGTAGTCCGACCTGAGTCACATGTACAAAAAAAAAAGTAGTGCATTGGCGGGATTATTGTAATTTTACATTCAATTTTAATTAAATAATCGTTTATTTGTTGTAATTTCCTCGCAATCGAAGTGAAAAGCAGAGTGTATAACTCGTTCATAAAACCCATTTTAGCCGAGACGAGTATATAATATAAGTCGACGCGTTTTATGCACTTGTTGTAGGTACAATGTACTATTTCGCTCTACAAGAAAATTACGAACCAAAATTCTGTATTTTTCATAATATTTTTAAACGCACTAACGCGGGAAAATAATATGGCGCCACCGTCTATGCGGAAAAGGCAGAGAACTAAAACCGAGTGTACAACTGGCTGTTTAAGTTTCTTCACTCGAAGTAAATTAAAACCTTAGAATAATAACGCATAGAAACCTAGTCCGCACACGCTAAGTGAGGCAAATTGAAGCGCTCCCAAAGGGCCTACACGAAGGGGCGGGCCTTCAGTGCTCAAGGTCAACGTGCACCGCGAACAGATCAAGAATTTTAGCTGAAAATGGTGAAATGTGCGGTAAATGAGTGTAAAAATCCGTAAAATAGATACTAACATCACATTCCACAAGGAAGTAACGCGTTTCAACTTGTATTTTTATATAAATATTTACTAAAACCGAAAATTAACCTACTACTAAAACTAGCCTACATGAATTTGATTTTTGCCTCACTTGTGACAGTTCGTTTGATATGAAACTATCATTCTATGCGTTATTATTCTAAGATTAAAACATTAGGTAGAATGAAGATGATGATTTTGAGATTCTAAATTCTGTGATACATTTTTAAGGATTCGGTCAGAGTGATTGGAAGATACACGTGCTCTTTTTTTGCTAAAGATTTTGTTGACCCTTCTCTTACTCTCTGAACTGCGAATTTGTTTATTTCTGTAGATTTCCCATATCTGTGCGTGCCGTTTATTGTGTTGTGTGTGTTTTGCGTGGTGAAGGTAAATTATATGTAGTTTTATGTCTGATATGGAGGTTGAAGGAGGCGGTACTGACCCTCCGGATATATCCGGGGAGTCGGGGCCGCTGCCGCCATCCCCCGACCTTTTTACGTCGATTACTCCTACAATATCTGGTAGTAAACGGAAAAGCTGTATAGCAGAAACTGATAACAGTACCCCCAAAAAACTCGTTACTGAATTTGTAACCCCATCGGCATCTATACAAACCATTTATACGCACCCCAATGCCGAGGAAAAGAAAATTTATTCTACTAATGATAAAGGTCCATTTGTAGTTCAAGTCTCACGTTTGGAGTCTGCCCCAGATAGTGGTTTAACACTAAGACCTGTCAAGTTTGGCCAATTTCTATTCAAAAATAAAATTAAAAATATTATAAATGGCAGCCTGAAGGCTGTCGGTCGCAATAGGCTGTCAATGCAATTTGCTTCAGCACATGAAGCAAACAATTTTGTACAAAATCCAATCCTCGGTCAGGCGGACTACAAGGCTATCATCCCCACCCACATAATTACCCGCATGGGAGTAATCAGAGGTATACCAAATGACCTCACAATGGACGAACTAGTAGAGAGCCTAGTCTTACCTTCAGGAACTGGCGATATCATTAAAGCCCGCCGTCTAAATAGAAAGGTGTCACACAATGATACTACTGAGTGGATCCCCACTCAATCAGTCGTAGTCACTTTCTCTGGCCAGTCCTTGCCACAGCATGTTTACTTGTTTTACTCCTCTCTCCCTGTGGAAAGCTATCTCCTCCCCACCATCCAATGCTTGAAATGCTGCCGCTTTGGCCACGTCAAAGCTCAATGTCGGTCCAAACCTCGGTGCTATAAATGTGCCCAACCCCACTCTGGGGAAACATGTAGTGTAACCACCCCAACATGTTTGTACTGTTCAGCTTTGCACCAATCTAACGACAAAAACTGCCCCGAACTATCAAGGCAAAAGTCAATAAAGCTTGTGATGTCACAAGAAAAAGTCTCTTACTTAGAAGCCTCTGTTCGCTTCCCGGCCGTCAGACGGTCTTTCGCCGACGTTGCATCTACATCCACACATATACCATCTGACTCATTGTCCTTTCCACAACCCTCCCGTCCAGCCACCACTTCATATAGAAAAACCGTAACAACAAACCAGAAACCAAAGCCACCCCGCCAAACCTCAGGCTATGACAACCAAACCCACATGGAATTAATTGCAACTCCCTCTTCCTCTTTACCTAACGGCTCCGCCTTATTAAATAGGTCTAATACACCAGATAATGACAACTTCCTCGATTTACTACTTTCTACACTTTTAAATATCTTATCCCGTTTTGATGACACTGATTTACCGTCCCACGTGCTTAATAAACTTTCCCTTATCGTCAATAAATTTTACAATGGATCTGTACCTTCTGCAGTGGAACTGTCGGAGTGTTAGACCTAAAAAACCTGATCTCATATACCTTATAAATAAATATAAACCCGTTATCATTGTCCTCTTGGAGACGTGGCTGGTTCCGGGATCCTTTTTCCGTATCCCGGGCTATACATGCGTCCGAGAGGATCGTGCAGATGGGTATGCAGGTACTCTAATCTTAATAAAACACTCAATTATTTTCCATAAAATTCCCCTCCCTGACCACAATACTAATGAAATTAATGCTGTTGCAGTCAGGGCTTTTAATATCTCATTCATGTCTGTCTATATTCCCCACCCACATCACTCCCTCATTCCTGAGCTTAATCTATTGTTTTCTAGTATTACCTCCCCTCTCATGATCTTTGGGGACTTTAATAGTCACCACACTGCTTGGGGTTCCTATAAAAATGACACATTCTCCTATCTTTTATTAGACATCTTTGATGAGTTTAATATATGTTTCCTCAACGATGGATCTCCGACACGTAGATCTTTCCCTCTCCAGGATACAAGACGAGCTGTGGACATTACTTTGTGCTCTCCAAGCCTAGTGCCCAGTTCTTCTTGGAGGACTCTTCCATATACTTTCGGAAGTGATCATTTCCCCATACTCGTTTCTGTAACAAGCAGCTGCACTCCATCGAAGCAACACTCTTCTCTATTAAAATTTAACACCTCTAAGGCTGACTGGGACAAGTATGGTCAATGTCTGGATTTAGAGCTACAGTCCCTGCCCAGTGTTGGGGATTTATCTCTTCAAGAAACCTATTCCAGATTTGTAGCATCAATCAATTCTTCCGCAATGG